CTGTAGGTAAGCGGTGTGGAATTAGTGTGCGGGCACCTTGTTTACAGACAAAATAGCATGTATATAAAAACAGATAAATCGGTGAATAGCATGTATATAAAAACAGATAAATCGGTGAACTACTTGTATAGAAGAAAATAACATTAAGATAAAGTCTCTGCTAGCAACACATGAACGATAAGATCTTCTACCGCTATAACAATGAAATCATCGAAGAGATCTCAATTTTAAAAAGAAAGCAAAGTGTCAAACCAGCAACAGAGGAAATAGAAGAAAATGCCAGTGGATTTCCCCGTCTAAGCGTTGCCGAAAGTTAGCTTTCTTACCAGCGAATTATTTGTATAACCTCTAAGCGCAAATCCAGGGTACCGGGCACTTTGTAACCACCTGTAAATATATCGGGCCATTTCAATGAACTTTCGTAAAGCTACAAGATGTTAAGGGTGTCATTTATACGTCACTGTTCCTCACATTCCGTCACATTTCCTGGTTTGGAGTTTATTCAGGCATGGATTCTGCGAAAAAAACTGTCGGCCGTGGCATGAGAGTTTCTACCGAGGGAGGAGTCTCGGAGTGGGTGTCAATTTCTTTGGCACTTCGGGTTGGTGGGGGCAACGAATGGCATTTTGCGAAGCCTGTAAAGGCCATCCTGTTTGGATACTTGTGAAATCGTGTAACGAAAGTGGACTTGTGTCATTGCGCAGCTTCACAGGAGTTTACGGGTCTCACCAAAATGAGCCATGTTACTACACCGTGCATCAATGTTACATAATTCTGTGGTTTAGCAGTGACGTAAAGTTTGAACGCTGCCTCGGAATAGTAGGTGGGAATCGATTGGGATCCGATAATTTGGTTCTCCGCTAATTTCCGCAAAAGCCGATTGCGACGCCATTATGCGCACGTGCCTTGTGGGTGTGTGTTTTCTTGGAGTAAAGCGATTATTTTGATTTCTCGTAGGTCTCTGCCCAGGTCGGGTGCAGAGTATGAAGGCGGGCGATCTCGATGAAAATCACCGGGGTCGCGGGGGCAGGTTGCTTCTCGTCTATCCGGTGCCGAGCGCATAAAGAGGAGGACCTTCTAAGTATTCGCAGTACGGCTAAAATTTTTTGTCTTTTTAGGGGGCAACGATTAGATTAATAGCTATTCTTTACGAGAGAGAGCTTATCGCTAAGCATTTGTGGCATTGCGAATTTTTCATTCTTAGATATTGAAGCATAATTCGTATTCTTTGGAGGGCGCGTTGCCTTTCATGATTTTGTCGCCAAGCTTGGATGCTAGGAGGTTCCAGGCAAAGCACGATTTTTGTTTTATTATTGATTAGGCTGAATATATTGAATAGTTTTTATTCTGAGACTTACAGGACGATGGTAAAGATTCTGGCACGGTAAGTCGTCGGTAGCTTCAGGATGTGTAATATTTGTATGGCTATTTAACTAGACGGGAGTTTCGCGGGCAGAGAGGCATGACGCAGTCCCTAAAACGTTTTGTATGCCGCGTTAAGTGCGACTCATGAAAAGGCGACTTCTTACTGCGCTGCGGTTAGTACTGCTGAAAGTGGTCGTCCTCAGCAACCCCCCTAACTATACCAAATCCTCTTTCTAAGCAGTTTTAGCAAGTTTAGGATTAATCAAGTTATGACTAAACAACCGATTGCGTCACCGACTCGCAGTAAAGATAAGGGACAGTTACTGTTCCTTCGATTCGTCACACTTCGTGAAGTGTTGCGTCCACTTCCTACCGTATTATATCTTTTAATGATGTTATTAGTATGCAAATGCTTAAACGTGTTGTACTAATGCCGATAATAATGTTTCGTTCTTATCGTCGTCTGTGACAACGATCTCACTCTATCCTTCTGTCTGCACGTCTGGGGCTAGAAGCCTCTCTCAGCGTGGGCCCTTAAGTACTAGCATGAGGCGGACTCATGAAGGTCCGCTCACTCAGTCTGCCATATTCCGTATACTAGACTACCTCCTCTATTACGTCCCGAGTAAGACGTCCATTTACTCGCAGCTCCATCCTATCCGTCGCAATCAAGACGTAGGTTCGCCTTTATATATAATAAACATATTATAATTACTATTATTGTCGTTCTCGCTGCTTATCCTCTGAAGCATACTTATAAATCCACTGAACCACCACATTTCTGCAATTTTATCAACTATACACAAAAAAGCGGATTTCTTGATAAGTCATTGATTTATTGATTTGCAAATTCTGTAGAGGAGCCTGCGGAAATCGTTCATAGTTTTTTATTTTGCTTAATTTATTATTGGGGTGTTGTAACGTTGAACAAACTGACACGGTAAGCGTGGAGTTCAGGTTCAAGCCCTGGAGGGATCAAGCGTTTTGTTGACATAAATCTGAATAATAGTGACGTTTTCAGCTTTTTGCCTTTGAATCAGGCCTACTGAAAACCGAGGAGCTTCATTTCTTATCATGGATGTCATGATAGAGCAAGGCCTCCAGGCAACAAGAACAGTCCTTAGGAGTAAAATCTAGTTAGCATGGCAGTGGCGGCAGGACTTTTAAATATTGTCCTTTTCTGGTACTTGTGGGAAGCTAAAGACAGTCATCGCTCTCAGCCAATTCGTAGGCGTCCTTCATTGTACAAATATTCGGTCTCCAGTCTCTAAGATTATCCCAGAAATCAGGTCCGGAGAACTCGTACAGCAATGCTGCCGAGGGTCCTACTTAGGTATTCTCCATGATTTTTTTTTCTTCCCTGGAGAGTCACATAGCGACCATAGGTTTGTAATTGAACGGCACTATTTACAATGTGCAGTCGCAGGGTTTATCTTTGAAAGAAGTAGTTCCTGAATGAACAAGTCAAGTTTCAGGGTAAAACTATCGGAACTGAGCTCTAGGTCCGTTCCACTGGTCCTTTCCTCACGGAAATCTGATCGTTGCTGATTTTGGATCAAGTACTTCGGTTTACTTGTTCGCGAACTGTCGATCGTTCTGTGTATGCTACTCAGAATATTGTAGTTATTTGTGCAAAATCATTCAGGTTCGAGGTGGCCTAAAGCCGGGACAGTAATAAAACAGCAATTCTCCGATTCCATCAATATGTCAGTGGTTCTGTCTCGGGCGATTACCCTAACAGCAGGCACATTATATCCCGCTTACAGAAGTTATAAGGTGAGCCTTTTTTCACTTTACCTACATATGTTTTATGCTATAGGAGAAGATGGATAGTAACTTTGCTTTGTAGGACGTTGATCCTTTCAAAATTGAGTTAGAAAGGACCAACCATTCGGGCTAGGGTCTCTTTCATGGAAGGTGCTTTCAACTGGTCCAGTATCCCGTTATTTCTTTATGCCCCACGAGTCCTGTCCCAGAAGTTATCTTATGATCTGGAGTGCCATATGGAGTGCATACCCATCAACCCTACTTCTGCCGTACAAGGCACACTTTCGCTGCGAATGCCAAAGATGTTTTTTAATGCCCTCCTTTCCCGTTTTTTTTTTGTTCGTTCTTATCTGTGTGAAAGATTTATATCGCACAAGAAAAGATTCAGAACCAGTCAAAAGATTGGAACCTGCAAAAAAGAAGCAAAAAGTTGCTGCTGTGCCTAGAAAGTTCTCGTGTGCGTTTTCGCGCATCTCTGCGACTTGCAAAAGAATGTGTCTTATAACCAGAAAGTAGGTTAAAGCCGCGTTGCGGCTTAGAAAATTCGGCGCTTCGAGCGATTTTGGAAAGTAAAGGTATCGGTCTGACGATCGAGTAGAATCGTAGAATCGGCCACCCGGCGTCTTGCGTCCGTGGTTCGGCGTTTCCGGGGACTGCGCGCCAAAGGACTGAGTAGATAACCCCGCTGCTGGTTACTAGCAATTTCGGAGATTCGGCGATCCGGCGCCGGATCACTCAATTTCCCAAAACGCTGAAACACCGATTTTTTTTCCAGTCGCCAGATGCTACGAGTGCTTTCCTCATTGCGCGATCTCTTGGTTCGCCGAATCTCCACAGTCGCCCAGTACGGCCTCGACGACTGATATGAAAATTCGGAACTATTCTTCTATTGCTGCTCCAGAAATTCAAAAAAATTTTCGCTGCAACTTTTCCCCACAGATTTCATACACTGCCCAGCTAAATTGCGCTGATTTTGAAAAATGAATGTCATTTTCTCGATCAGCGTTCAATCAACCCTCTTATCCAAGTTTTCATCGATTCTGATGAAGTAGGTGGTCGCAGGCATTTGGCGCGAAATGGCCCCAGCGGAAAAGCGGATGTCAATATCAAATAACCACTGTGTACAATTTTTCATTGATTTTGCTAAGGGAAGTGATGGCGCCTAATTGGCGCCTTCAGGCGCCAACGAATTAATATCATATTCTGATCAGGGCACTGAATAACCTCTATGGACAAAGTTGATGCAATTTTTTTAGTTCGAGCACTCATAGCGGAACGGTGCGAAATTTTTCGTGGAGATCGCATTTACTCGAAGTTAAGCGCCAAAAATGAATATCGTGTTCTGATCAGGGCACTGAATAACCTCTGTGGGCAAATTTGATACAGTTTTTTTTAGTTTCTCTACTTATAGCGGAACGGTGCCGAATTTCTGCGGGGATCGCGTTTGCTTAACGTTCCAGTCGATAGTTTCCATGAGTAAAGATACATTTCCTTTCTCTTCCCCTTTTGCCAAGTGTTTGGTTTTTCGGGATATTGTGCCTAGAGAACCAGAGTTTCCAGGGAACCCTTATGCGTAATGAACAACTTTTTAAATTTTTATTACTTTTCTCCTCTTAGGTACCGTACAGGGAGCGATACACTGTTTGTTTCCAGGCCATTCGAACGAAAGATGTGCGAGAATATGTTAAATGGATGATGTACTGGATTGTTTTTGCAATGTACACGTTGATAGAAGCGCTAGCAGATATATTCATCTCTTTCTGGTTTCCCTTCTATTATCAACTCAAAATCGTTTTCGTGTTATGGTTACTGAGTCCGTGGACAAAGGGCGCATCGATTTTATACCGGAAGGTATGTTCTCCACGATTGTTGAATCGTTTATTTTTCTTGTTGATATTTGTTTTGTACTTTTGTTTGTAATGT